TAAGTAGTATAATGTCGAGTAGTAGTAGTGAGGGGTCGAGTAGTAGTAGTAGTGGTCAGTCTTCTAGGAGTTCGGCCACTAGGAGCCCTGAGGACGAAGGTGCGTCCATTATCCCTATGGCCGTACCTATTGCCTCGCACTCTGACGTCGAGACAACTTTAACTTTCCCTAGAGGAGCGACCAAGAACAAAGAACATGTTATTATAAAAATGGCTAGGGAGTTCACGGTTATGCCCCTATGTGACATTAGGACCCCAAACCTAATAAACCAATAGTAAATGCTCGAGAGGGAGAAATGACTTTCTTTCGGGATGCCCTCAATGGTCGGGCTTAGGTGGCCTCTCTACCCGTTCTTTATCCACTTCCTGACCTCCTTCTTTATATGCTCGGGCCAATTAGCCCCTAACGGGTAGAGACTCTTGGTATATTTTTTTTATTTTATGTAGATGCCTCGAGGTAGAGCTAAGGATCGACCTCTTGAGGATGGTTTTTGATTTGAATTTCTCACCGGGGTACAATTGTTTTGTGTATTTATGCACCAATGGCGATTTAGGACACCAGAAACTCCGAGCTTTCTTCGGGGTTGAAAAGTGCTTTTTTTTTTTTGTTAAACCTCAAGACCTCAACCACCCATTTAGCCCGAGGTGGGAGACCCCTGATAAGGATATGTTTAATGAGGGTCAGGCATACTTCGAGGTTTTGGAGAGTGATAGGTTGAGGTTAGTGAATCACGACCCTCTTGCAGCTAGAATTGATTATTTACTCGAGGATGACACCTTAAATCTCGCCAATGTGAGGGAAATCGAGGATACGAGCCTTAACTCTTCTTGTTTCCGTTATCTTTCCCGAACTTAAGATCGAGCTAACGCCTTGTTGATTTTTGCATATTTGAAAATGTCTTTTGATCCATCCAAGTTCCTCGCAAACGTGCATCACAAGATAAAGGGCTCAAAGCCCAAAGTGTCTGCCCCCTTGAAGTGGAAGAAACGAGCTCGATAGCCAAACATGACCAAGAACCCTAGTGGGATCGGGCAATCATCAAAGAGCCCAGTACATCTACCACAACCATCTCCTCGAACTTCAGCTCGTGCTTCCACTTCTCGTACCACACCGGAGATAGTGGACCTGGAGGATAACGCATTTCTACCCAACTCGTGTTGGAGGAACATGCTCGATGCCCCTGATCCCGAGTTTAGTAAACAAGTACTTGGATGAGGTCGAGCCCGGTGAGGGGATGGTGGAACCTGAGCTCATGACTCTGAAGGTATGGACTCGACCTCGAACTAGTTTTTTTATTTTGCATTCTTTAGCATTCGCTATTATATTAAATGTTCATTACTTTCAGACCTTGAGCATGGCCCGAAGTTTGGCTATGAAGAGCCTGGGCACATCAAGCAAAGTGTCCGAGCTCGAAGCATAAAAAGAGGAAAAAGATAAGCGAATTTGAGAACTCGAGGTGGAGAGTGATCTGGCGCGAATGGAAACAAGAAAAGCTAGAGATCAAATAGGGGTGGCAAAAGATAAGGTCAAGGAGGCAAAGCTCGAGCTTATTCATGCTAAGAAGGAGTTCGAGGACCAACTGGGGAAAGCTCGAGCTCAAACAGTAAGGGAGTTTAAGGAATTTGAAAAGTTCAGGACGTTGTTCGGGCAATATGGTTCGGGCTCCTTCCATTACGGCCTAAAACTGGCCCAATCTTTCTTCAGGACCAAGTTGTCTGACGACTCGAAGCCTATCATTGAGGATCTAAAGTCGGTCATTGAGCTTGCCAACAAGCTCTAGCTTTTCGCCTCGGAAGCTGAGGATGAAGAAGCTAACGAGGTCGGGGCTCCTAGTTACGACGACCCTGCTGATGCTACGGACTTGACTAGGCCCCTACCCGAACTTTGTTCATGTTTTTTATTTTTGAAATTGTAACAAGTACATTGCCCGATTTGGTTTTCTTTGATTTTAATATAAGTTCAATATTTTGTCATGTATTTGTTGTAAATTATGTTCGTTCTTTCAAAACACATCAATCTCGAGGTCAAGCACCTATATGGACAATCGAAGCTTGAGCCTCTGAAATATACACGTCGAGCTTGAGTATGTTACTTAACCAATTTTTTGGCCAACAAGCTCAAGTTCCTTGTTTAGTGTGTAGCTCGAGTATTTTACTTGATCAGTTTTTTAACCAACAAGCTCGAACACTTTATTTAATGTGTAGCTCGAGTGTTACCATTTTTTGGCCAACAAGCTCGAGTTCTTTGTTTAGCATGTAGCTCGACCATTTTACTTGACCTGTTTTTTAGCCAACAAGCTTGAGCCCCTTATTTAATGTGTAGCTCGAGCGTTACCAATTTTTTGGCCAACAAGCTCGAGTTCTTTGTTTAGTGTGTAGCTCAAGCATTTTACTTGACCAGTTTTCTGGCCAACAAGCTCGAACCTTTTATTTAATGTGTAACTCAAGCGTTACCAATTTTTTGGCCAACAAGCTCGAATTCTTTGTTTCATGTGTAGCTCGAGCGATTTACTTAACCAGTTTTTTTGGCTAACAAGCTCGAGCTCTTTATTTAATGTGTAGCTCGAGCGTTTTTCACAAGCTTTGATATTTTTAAGCTCCTGCTGGTGGAATTCAAGTGTGGTACTTACACATTATTCAGGCAAGTAGTTTGGGCCCTTTTTTTTTAAGTATCTTGCTATTCTACTTTGATAACTTGCAGCTCTAAGCGACTCATGTTCTCGAACTTCTTTAAGTAGGTCAAGATGCTCTGTTGTTAGCCCTTTGAGATTCGGCCCAGGCCTTCTCATTGTAGGGAGGCTAACCTTAATTGGAATTGTAGTATCAATACCAAAGGCTAGCATAAAGGGAGTTTTGTCAGTTGCTATCTTGTGGGAAGTCCTATAGGTCCAGAGTATGGAGGGCAATTCCTCTGGCCAAGTGCCTCTAGCATTCCCGATCCTTGTTTGGAGATCTTGAAGTATGATCCGATTAGTTACTTCGGCAAGGCCGTTACTCTTA